CAGTCAAAAAGGCTGGGACAGTGGAGAACACGGATCAGGGTCCTAGACTATGAAGAAGCAGAAGTTCCTCCCTTTACCTCACTGGTCCCTGGACAGCAGTGGCAACATGTGCAGGACGAGCCAGGACAGGTCAGTGTTCTGCCTGACCCAGTGCTGCTGCAGCTCACACTTAACCCAGACCAGAACTGCCAGGAGGGCAGTCTGTGCAGGTGCCTGGTAGTCCCCACACATTGGGGCCCAGGCTGGCCCCGTGTTCAGTGAGATCTGAATGCGCTGTGTTTGAAGCAAGGGTTTAAAACACAAATGCTATCACAGAAATGCTGAACACAGAGGGACAGGCTAGGTTGTGTGCAGAATTATGAGCAAAGTAAATATTTGACTAAATGCACAAAGTATAGGATGTAGCCACGTCTAGACACACCATGTTGTATCTGAATAATTTTTGTGCCAATAAATGACATCAGAATTTTAAAAACATGTACATGAGCAGTTTTTTGTTTTTTTTTAATATTTATTTATTTATTTATTTTAGTTTTTTTTTTGGCGGACACAACATCTTTGCTTGTATGTAGTGCTGAGGATCGAACCCAGGCCGCACGCATGTCAGGCGAGCGCGATACCGCTTGAGCCACATCCCCAGCCCTATGAGCAGTTTTTTATTCATAATTATTAGTAAATTCAAAAAGGAAGCAGAGGGTTGGTTGGGGATGTAGCTCAGCATTAGAGCACTTGCCTAGCATGTGGGAAGCCCTGGCTTCATATCCTGGCACCACAAAAGGGGAGGGGGGCACAGTTAGTATGAGAGGAGTACAACGGACACAAGGATGTATGTGACGTGGTCCCTTTCCGTGGGGTATCCTGCAGCAGAACTGAGAATTCTACCCCCGCTAAGTGATAAGAGGAGCCATACACAGAAGCACTAATTCTGCCAGAATACCAGGAAAGCCTCATGGAAAAGTGCATGTTGGGACAGCTCAAGGAGGAGTGGGATTTTGTCAGGTGACGCACATGGGGACAGCCTTAGCAGGAAAGGAAGCGCAAGATGCTGAGGTGTGTAGAAGCATCATATCTGCAGCAAAGGCAAGTGTTACCCTGACCCATATGGAGCTGCGGTGTCTAGCCACATTTGACAGAGAAACAGCACGTTCGCAGGGTCGAACCTCATAGCTCAGTATGTGTGGCTCAGTGATCAGAAGAGAATAAAAGGAACAACAGGAAGATAAGGGGAAAAGACGCCAGAGAGTAGAGTGGGGCCTCCTCACTGTCCCCGCAAGGCCTCTGGACCTGATGCTGCGAGGTTCAAGGCAGGAATGGGCAATAGGTAGCAAACAGACGGAAAGAAAATCAGAAGCCACGTGGGCAGAGGAAGCTCCTGGAGTAACAGGAGGGGACATTAAGTAGAGCTGGTCAGCATCCTACAGATGACACATGCACTTTTGGTCTTTTGGGGGTTTTTTTGTTTTTTTTGTGGTATAGAAAATCAAACCCAGGGCTCATGTATGCTAGGCAAACACTCTATCTCTGAGCTACATACCCAGCCCTACATTCCCTCAAAAGAAAGAACATGCCTAAAGAGAACTTCCAGAGAAAATTTTTAGTTGTTTAAGGGAATTATTTGTTTCTAAATTTCTTTGGTCTACTTCTACTTAATAAAAATACTTTGTCATTTAAAAATTATTCAGAGGGCTGGGGATAAAGCTCAATTTGTAGAGTGCTTGCCTTGCATGCACAAAGCCCTGGGTTTGATCCCCAGCACCAACAAAAACTATTCAGAGAACTAATATAGGAGGAAGAAGATAATTGAAGGATAGGAATCATATGTCTTTCCCCCAAAACTGCTAGAAGACCCATCTCCGATTGGTGCTCCATAAAGGTTCATGAGACAACTCTTGCATTAAAAACAAAAGATTAAGGGCTGGGGTTGTGGCTCAACTGTAGAGCACTTGCCTAGTGCATGAGAGGCCCTGGGTTCGATCCTCAGCACCACATTAAAATAAAGGTATTGTGTCCAACTACAACTAAAAAATTAAAAAATAAAAAGATTAAGGGCTGGAGATGTAGCTAGGTGGTAGAGCACACCTAGTGCCTCACACATTCGAGGCAAGCACTTTACCACTGAGCCACAGTCCCAGCCCGTGAAAAAGATTTTAAAAAGTAAATAAATAAAATATTTTAAAATCACAAAATGAATTTGGATCCCACAGTGAAACTAGTAAGTTTGCACACTCACAGCTAGAAAGTCTCGTACCATGTGTGAGGGTTTGGCTATGAGATATCCCAACAGCTCCAGTGTTAAAGCAGGAATGTTTGGAGATGCTTGAACTGTGAAAGCTGTGACCTAATCAGTCCATCCTCGCTTGAAGGGACTGGGTGTTAACTGTAGGTAGATGGGGTGTGGCTGGAGGAGATGGCCACTGGGGGGTCTTGCCTGTGATCTCCCTCCCTACCCCACCCCCAGCAGCTTTCCTCCACTGACCCTTCTCCCATGATGTTCTTCCTCTCCTTGGGCCCAGGGCAGTGGTGTCAGCAGCTGTCTATGGACTGAGACTGAAACTACGAGCCCCAAAGAAACTTTTCCTCTAAGCTGTTGTCAGGTGTTTTGGCCACAGCAACACAAAAGATGACTAAAACATCATGTATAACCCATTTCGCTCCCAAAAATATGATCCTCATAACTTCCTTGGCTCCAGATAAGACAATTTCATGTCTTCAGTGATATTTTATTACCTTTCATAAAAGATTAGGAAAGCAAAGTCTGAACTGTAGTGAATCTAATAGGTTTTTAAGTTATCTAAGCAAAGTCTTCTAGCTTTGTAGACATGAATTACCAGGAGCAGGGAAGAGCTAATGAAGGCCTTTAAGAACAGTCTAACCACCAGTTGCAGTGGTGCACGCCTGGTAATCCCAGCAACTCTGGAGGTTGAGGTAGGAAGATCGCAAGTTCAAAGCCAGCCTCAGCAAATTAGTGAGCTGTAAGAGATTCAGTGAAACCCTTTCCCAAAACGAAAAAATAATAAAGGGCTGGGGATGTGGCTCAGTGGTAAAGTGCCCCTGGATTTAATCCTTCATACCACCCCACCCCCGCCAAAAAAAAAATCTAACCCTCAATCACAAATGGTTTCATGTAATCCTATGTGACTGGAGGACGCAGAAAAGAATGACAAGATCCTCGCATTCATCAGCTTTCATAAACCAGGGCCTTAGAACTAAGAGGCAATATAATCAAAACTGGAGAGGGGCACAGTGGTGCACACCTGTAATCCTAGCAGTTCAGGAGGCTGAGACAGGAGGATCGTGAGTTCAAAGCCAGCCTCAGCAAAAGTGACCCTCTACGCAACTCAGTGAGACCCTGTCTCTAAATAAAATACAAAATAGGGTTGGGGATGTGGCTCAGTGGTCCTGTGCCCCTGGATTCAATCCCCAGTACCAAAAAAAGAAGGAGGAGGAGGAGGCTACGGCTGGGCTGGGAATGTAGCCCAGTGACAGAACCCTTGCTTGGTATGTGTGAGGCCCTGTACCATCCATCCATGCCCAACACCAAAAAAAAAAAAAAAAAAAAAAAGAATCAAGGCTATAGTGGCAAAAGACTGAGTTTCAAATCTCAACTCTATCTCACACTACGTGTGTGATTTGGGACAAGTTATTTAATTTTTCTATGCTTGCTTGCTTGCTTTGTGATACTGAGGATTGAACCCAGGGGCACTTACCACTGAGCCACTCTCCCTGTCCTCAGATTCACCTAATACAGCCTACCCTACCTTAAACATGCTGGGAACATCTACATTAATTAGCCCACAGTTGGGCAAAATCCACTCACACAAAGCCTATTTTATAACAAAGCACAGGAAATCTCACGTCAGTTTTTTGTTTTTTTCTTTTCATTATTAACCTTCATTAATGAATGCTTAACACCAAGCAAAACACGGTGAGATAGAAAGACACATATGGTCCACATTCTCTACTATCAGAATCTAGTGAATTATACAAGATGGTACGTAATTGAGCACTAAATTTTACAGATCATACTAAGAGTTTTGCATGTAGTTTTTAAAATTTGTTTATTCTAATTAGTTATACATGACAGCAGAATGCTCTTCGATTCACTGTACCAACATCATTCTAAATGGAGAAAAATTGGAAGCATTCCCACTAAAGACTGGAACAAGACGGGATGCCCTCTTTCACCAATTCTATTCAACATAGTTCTTGAAGCTCTAGCTAGAGCAATTAGACAGTTGAAAGAAATTAAAGGGATGTGAATAGGAAAAGAAAAACTCGAACTATCATTATTTGCCAATGACATGATTCTATACTTAGAAGATCCAAAAAACGCCACCAAAAAACTTCTAGAATTAATAAACGAATTCAGCAAAGTAGCAGGATATAAAATCAATACCCATAAATCAAATGCATTTCTATACACCAGTGATGAATCCTCTAAAAGAGAAATTAGGGAAACTACCTCATTCACAATAGCCTCCAAAAAAAAAACAAAACTCAATTTTTAAAAAGAGGTGAAAGACCTCTACAAACTACAGAACACTAAAGAAAGAAATTGAAGACTTTAGAAGATGGAAAGATATGTCATTTTTTTAGTAACTGAAAATGAAAAACAGAATGGTTGTATGGCTGTGATTTCATACGGACATAAAATGGGGAAGTTCTTAAGTTGAACAATCATAAGTGAAGGCCAAGGGAAAAGACACGATGCCTCAGGGGTGGGAGTAACTGCAGGCGCTGGTCTCGCGATGAGGGCGGAAGGGAACCAGAGGTTGACGGGAGCTGGCTTTAAATGCAAGAACTGAGTCCTCCGGTCCCGCCCAGGATCACAAGGTTGCTGGGATGATACACGGTAAGGTTATAGGAGTACGTGAACGCGCCTACGAGACTCGACACTCCAGCTCAAGCTCCCGCCAGCCCGTGCTCCTGGACCGGGGCCCCTGCGCACGCGTAGAGCGCTAGCTGCGCGTCAGCGGCACTCTCGCGAGAAGAGCCTTGCGGGCCAGGAAGATGGCGCCCCCCAGTCCCCGGGAGCCCAAGACCCCGTCGGCCACTGGTGCCACCAAGCCCGACAGTGACATGGTGCTGCCGGGCTTCCCGGACGCGGACAGCTTCGTGAAGGTGGGTTCGCCGGCAGCCGCGCTCCCTGGCTGGGGCGGGAGGAGGCCGCGGGCCTGGGGAACAGCCGCGCGCCGCAGCGGAGCCCGACGGGGACCTGGCCGCGAACTCCGGCGCCTGGGACGCCGCTCGCTGTGAGCCCACGCGGCCCGGGGGCGGAGCGCTGGCTGCTCGTCGCGGGGAGGGCCTCTGGGCCCCCGGCCGGCTCCCGGGCTCGGCCGCGCTGCGCCTTCCGCACGGGCCCGCGGCCCCCTCGGAGGTGCCGCCTCGTCACCCCAGCATCCTTGCCCCAGAGCCGGGGCGCAGTATGAGGCCCTCCCTGTGGGCATGCGGGGCTCCTTGGAGTTACTTGTGTAGCGGCTCAAGTGGGAGCCGACCTCCGGCCAGGCTTAGGCCTTAGGGTGGCCCTCCCCGAGCCGCGGCACTGCCAGCCCGGCAAGTTTGCCACGGGGCCTGCGGTCCCCGCTCCGCCGTCTGACCTGCGGTACCGTCCACTGCACTTCCTGGCCCCAGCAGGCCCCGAACCGCGAGGTGTGGTCCCGGGCGTCACCCACTACCACACCGCGACTTAATTTCCACCTCCTTTCTCATTTTTTGGCTGGCGGGAGACGTTTGTACACAAAACTGACATTTGGCCTACACGCGCCCGCCTCCTTTGTCAATGAAGGGTCATTTCTCCTTACCCAAGAGTTTCAGTAGAGTGCTGCTTGGTAGTCACTGAGCCAGTTGTAAATCGGTCATCGAGCGAGTCTGGAGGACGCTTGTATTGATGTTAGGTGTTTGTCAAGGTAAAAACACAGAAGCACAGTAAATCTTGTATAGAGCACATGGATTTGAACTTGGGTAATAATAGCATTGATGTGCCAGGTGCTGTGGGAGGTGATTTTATTAACTCACTCAATCCTCACAGCAACTTGTGGGGTAGATACTTTTTATTATGCCCATTTTTCTGAGGAAGAAACCAAGGTCCAAATAAGTGGAATAACTTAACCAAAATCACAAATCATAGATGGTGGAGCCAAGATCAAACCTGGTCCATTTTAAATATGTTATTTTTTGTCTTTGGTCAGCAAGAGTCCACATACAAGATTATGTAGCCTAGTGACGTCACAGCTGTCTTAGTGTGTGTATACTGGTCTGTGTGATGGTGAAATCACCTAACGACGCAGAGGGACACATGACTTTATATGGCTTTGTGTTGTTTTGTTTTTGCAGTACTAGGGATTGAACCCTGGGCCTCACAGTGCTAGGCAGGCTTTCTACCACTGAGCTATATCCCAGCCTATGTATGTGTATGTGTTTTGTCACACACACACACACACACACACACACACCCCCGCCCCAGTCTTTCAGGAACATTGGCTCCAAACTGGGTTCTTTGGTTCATTGAATTCTCATGGCCCAGAACAGGACTCGGGGTAGAGTGGCACCAAGTGGGTTATTCATTATGCAGATAAGATTGGATGCCTATCACTTCTCTTGAGTACTGGTACAACATGCTGTATGGGCAGATCTTCCAACAGGGACTTGCTGAGCAAATGCTGATCTGTGTTTTAAATGTGCTGTATCTTTGGGGTTTTGACAGTTCGCTCTTGGATCAGTGGTGGCAGTCACGAAGGCATCTGGAGGCTTACCACAGTTTGGTGATGAGTATGATTTTTATCGTAGTTTTCCTGGCTTCCAGGCATTTTGTGAGACACAGGGAGACAGGTTGCTTCAATGGTGAGTACTGTGTATTTTCTTGTATTAATGAAAGAAATGAAAACAAAGAGATGGATAATTTTTTTCTGAAATTTGTTTCTCCTCAATCATAATTTTGTGCACTATAAACAACGATGAAGGGCTGGGGATGTGGCTCAAGCGGTAGCGCGCTCGCCTGGCATGGGTGCGGCCCGGGTTCGATCCACAGCACCACATACAAACAAAGATGTTATGTCTGCCGAAAACTAAAAAGTGAATATTAAAATAATTCTCTCTCTCTCTTTAAAAAAAAAAGAGTGAGGGTTGACTTGACTCCAGTCCTCACACCAGTATTAAAAATAAATAAATAAATAAATAAACAACGATGAAATGTGAAAATGACACAGTATATTTTCATTAGGGAAATAATTTTTAGTGTGTGTGGTGCTGGAGATTGAACCCCGGGGCCTCATGCATGTCAGGCAGATGCTTTACCACTGAGCTCCATTACCAGCCTTTTTTTCAATTTTATTTTATTTTGAAATAGGGTGTTACTGACTTGCATAGGCCAGCCTTGAACTTGTTCTGTCTCAGACTTCTGAGTAGCTAGAATTACAATTGTGCACCATTGCACACAGCTTAGTTTAACTTTTAAAAAATATATCAACTTTTGCACTTTTAGGCAGGAGATCTTTTTGAATTAATATGGAACTTGAAAATCAGTGTATTAGGACAGATAATACATAAACATTAATTTTGTTTAACTGTTGTGTGAAAAATTAGAAAAACTCACATTTGCCATGTTAAAACAATAAACACAGCATACATTATTAATATAGTATCATGTGACTGGGCGCAATGGCACATGCCTGGAATCCCGGCGGCTCAGGAGACTGTAGCAGGAGGATTGCGAGTTCAAAGCTAGCCTCAGCAAAAGCAAGGTGCAAGCAACTCAGTGAGACCCTGTCTCTAAATAAAATACAAAATAGGGCTGGGGATGTGGCTCAGTGGTTGAGTGCCCCTGAGTTCAATCCCCAGTGTGTACACACACACACACACACATATATAAATATATATAATCATGTGTAAGAAGCTTTGAGATAAGTTTCTCCTTCAAATCATGAGATAAAGATGCACAGACTGACCTTGGCTTTCCTCTCCTTAGCATGAGTAGGGTGATGCAGTACCATGGGTGTCGCAGCAACATTAAGGATCGGAACAAGGTGACTGAGCTGGAGGACAAGTTTGATTTATTAGTGGACACCAATGACGTGATTCTGGAGAGAGTGGTGAGTACTTTGCCAGACACTTCACTGACAAATGAAGAGTGTTTTATGAAAGCAAGGAGTAACCCAGGCACCTTAGAAAATGAAAAGGAAGTGAGTTTAGCATTTGGTACAGGTAATAACTTCTCCTTCTGATAATTGGCATCTTTTTCTTCAAAAATAACAACAGTTGTCTTTAAAATATCACTGGCTTTAAAAAAAGAAAGAAAAAATCACTCCCTGGGGAAGCCTCTTTGTTTTTTTTTTAAATGTCTATGAATCCATTTTTCTGATTTGCAAATTCTGTTTGTATTACAAGAGAGGCAGCCTCTGTACCAGCCCAGCCAAAATTTAGTTCTTTATTGTTGTTTTTCACAATCTACCTCTAAGACCCCAACCTGCAGAATTGAAAGGAGATTCATATCTATCTAGGTCACTATCAATTTATTTCAAAAAACACAGGAGAGCATTATTTATAGAAATACTCACAGATCATCCAAGTAAGTCTAACCTTCAACTAGTGACAGCCCTGGAGATATTGACATCCTGCTCTCCTGTCCCAGGAGGTCATCTCTTCCCAGCCTAAATGCCCACAATCTTTTAGAGGAGTCTCATGTTTTATGACTTTAGGTCCTGCCATACTGTCATCTGTCACGTGGGTGCATTTCTTTTAATAGTGCACAATCTGATTTTCCACACCTGTTTGTACACACTAGACAGGCTACCGTTATTCTCATTCTAACTAGTGTACTTCCCCTGGCACTCACCACGGCCCTGCACTGGGAACAAAACCCAGGGTTGTGTGCATGCTAGGCAAGTGCTATACCACTGAGCTACACCCTACACCTATACGTCTTTATTTAACAGACACAGTCTTCTATTTTTATTTTAGTGGCCACATTACATTTGAAATCATATTTGGACATTCAGCCAAGTTCATAGTTATAGAGGGTCAATCAGGTCAGGAGTTAGTAATTACTGCCCTACCTGTCTGTGAACATATAATGCTTCAGTTGCTTGGTATAACTCCCTAATCACCCCACCTCTCACACAGTAATGCACATTTGTGTGTGTGTATTCGCATGTGTGTGTGCATGGAGGGTGTAAGGCAAGTGCTCTACTTCTGAACCACAACCCCAACTCCCTAACTTTACCACTGAGCTACATCATCAACGTTTTTTGGTTTGGTTTGGTTTGGTTTGGTACTGAGAATTGAACTCAGGGGTACTCAACCACTGAGCCATGTCCCCACCCCATTTTTATATTTTATTTAGAGATAAGTTCTTGCTGTGTTGCTAAGTGCCTCGCTAAGTTGCTGAGGCTGACTTTGAACTCGCAATCCTTCTGCCTCAGCCTCCCAAGCTGCTGGGATTATAAGTATGCGCCACTGCACCTGGCCATCATCAACCTTTTTTACTTTAAAAAAAAAAAAAAAAAATGTCTCTGGGCTAGGATTGTGGCTTAGTGGTAGAGCACTTGCCTAGTATATCTGAGGTACCTGGGTTCAATCCTCAGCACCACATAAAAATAAATAAATAAGATAAAGGTATTGTGTCCATCTATAACTAAATAAAAAAATTTTTAAAAGTTTCACTAAGTTGCTAAGGCTGGCCTCAAGCTTGTGATCCTTCTGCCTATACCTCCCAAGTTGCTTGGATTATAGGTGTGCACTGTGGCTAAAAAAAAAGGTTATTTTTTGATTGACAAATAAAAACTGCATATACTTAAGGTATGTTTTCATATGTGCATTGATATGTACATATCCTCTCACATAATTCTGCAAATAAATTTCTTAAAAATGTCAGGGAATTAACTTTGCTAACCTCAAAAAAGAAGATACTAACCTAATATCTCATTTGCTCTTAGGGTATTTTGCTGGATGAAGCATCAGGTGTGAATAAGCATCAACAACCTGTCCTCCCTGCAGGACTACAGGTCCCCAAAACAATAGTGTCCAGCTGGAACCGGAAGGTGAGGGCATCTTTTCAGTTTTGACGAGGGCCTTCGTGGAAGCTTTTCCATAAGGCTCTCGCCCACTCGAATGTGTACTTCTGACTTGCTGGGCAGAGCTGGCACTGCCTCATTTAGCTTGTTCTCATAAATATACAGAGCCTGACTCCACCCCTTCCACTTTGCACTCCTAGTCTCCCATGCACAGACATTCTAAATGAAATGAGTAGCTCTCAAAATGTTTTTATCTCCTTGGAAGACCATCAACTGGAATTTACTTTTTATTTTTTTTCCTGGTACTAAAGATTGAATGCAGGGGATGTACTACCACTGAGCTGCACCCCTAGTCCTTTTTATCTGTTATTAAAATTGTAAGATAGGATCTTACAAAGTTGCCAAGGCTAGCCTTAAACTTAGGATCCTCCTCAGGATCAACCTTCCTCTTGCCTCAGCCTCCCAAGTCACTGGCATTATAAGCATGCACTACCATGCCTGGTTATAGTTTGCTTTTCTAACTCATCAGGTTGCTGTGGCATAAGACATTTGTATGCATTGATCACAGGCAGGAGAATATGGCAGGAAAACAAAATCTGAAACTTTTCGACTACTTCATGCAAAAAACATTATCCGACCTCAACTCAAGTTTCGAGAGAAGATTGACAATTCCAACACTCCGTTTCTTCCTAAGATCTTCGTCAAGCCCAATGCTCAGAAGCCGCTCCCTCCACGTGAGTATTGCACGTGCTGCTGTGTGTGAATCTTCTCTTCCGTCTGATGCCAAAGGCAGCAAAGGGGTGAAGTTCTCTCTGCCTTCCTTTCTTCAGAGGGAGTCAGTGATACCCAGAAAGCTAGAAAAGACCTTAAGGTGTGTGTCCCTTTGTGATGGTGTTTTTGTCATGCTTGGGTCTCCAGCTCTTTCTAAAGAACGGCGGGAACGCCCCCAGGACCGTCCTGAGGACTTGGATGTACCCCCTGCCCTGGCGGATTTCATCCATCAGCAGCGAACCCAGCAGGTTGAGCAGGACATGTAAGAGATTGCCTGTGTCTAAACCTTCTACTCAAATTTTTGCTTCATTTTCACTTGGTTTCACTTTTATAAAATGTGTATGTGAAAAAGTCAAACAGGTGGTTTTTGCCTCATTCTCACACAAATATTAGCAACTGAGCATCCTGTTTGTGTTCATAGAGACCAACACAGCACTGTCCCAGGTAACCCTCACCAGGTACCAAGCAGTGGCAGGTACTCTAGCTCCCATTTGCTATGATATTAGAGATGCTGACTTCCCCGAGACTAGAACTGTAAACCCCCATTTTCTTCAAGTTGCCTTTCCCCCATGCTGCCCTGCTTTTTCACAGGAGGGATTCACCTTAAGGTGAGGCAAAGAATAGGGTTGTTCACTGGCAGCATTAGCATGTTGCGAAAACTTCACTTCAAATAGATAAATGGGCAGGAATGCTGCTTAGTGGCAGTGTGTGCCTCGCATGTGCAAGGCCCTGGGTTCAGTCTCCAGCATCAAAAACACAGCAAGAAGGTGCACACTTATAGTTCCAGCTACTTGGGAGGGTCACTTGAGCCCCTGAGCTTGAAACCAGCCCAGGCAACATAAAAAAGATCCCATCTCAAAAAAGGGAGAGAGAATAGACATATGGACTTTGGCATAATGAAGTTAGCTTTGGCCTCTTTCTCACACATAGCCAGGGGCTGTTTACATTCATTCCTTGCCCCCTCTCTGCACTATGAGGCCAGACTAAGTGCTGGAGAAATAGAGGGGATGAAAGGTAACTCTGCCCTCAAACTCACCACAGGCTTGGGGTGTTTATGCAAATACATGAGAGAAGAAGGGAAAAAACATTTAGCCCATGGTCAACCAGAATATTTGCCCCGCTCTCTCTCAACTTCATCAGTTTATTTTTCCAAACCATAAGGAATTATGTATTTTTCATTTTTGTGTCATCTACAACACCAACCATCCAGTGTTTGCAAGAAAGTACTCACATGTTGGTCAAGTCTCGATTCTTCAACGCTCCCTGAAGAAACAGACAAATTGTCCTGTGGTCAGGGCCATCACACATTGCCTTATTTATTTGATGCTCATGAATTATCACTGCACCAATGATGCTTTTGCAAAGGGAAGGTAGTTTCACAATGCTTGGTTCTCACTTGTTTTTACATGTAGTATCAGAACAGCTTTTCCTTTGACTGATGGAATTAATCAAATGGTTTCTTTTTGTTTTATTGATTAGGTTTGCACATCCTTATCAATATGAACTAGATCACTTCACACCCCCAGAGTCAGTGCTTCAGAAGCCACAACCCCAGGTTAGTGCCCAGTTATAGTGGTGTCAGAGGGTCCTGGGAAGAAGAGTCAAAGCAGATTATTTGATCTAATTTTGACTTTCCTTTAATAAGTTTAAAGTAGGGAGTTTAGGCCACTGCTTGGACTCATAGTTTGCTTGGTATTTTAGTGAGGGTGGTTTTAATATTCTTTTCTTTTTCTCACTGTACTTGCTCCAGTTGTACAGACCTGTAGAAGAAACACCCTGCCATTTTGTATCCTCCCTGGACAAACTTGTGGAACTCAACGAAAAACTCTTGAATTGTCAAGAATTTGCTGTAGACTTAGAGGTATCTGTAATTGACCCTTGAGTGAAATTTTACATTTTCGGGAATTTACGTTTTAGGAAATTAGCACAAATTTTAATGGAATTTTTTGCTGCTGTATAATTGATTTCAAAATTAGTGGAGGAGGAGCTGGGGCATAACTCAGTGGTAGAGCACATGCTGATTAGCATTCCTCAGCACCAAATATAAGTTAATAGATAAAACAGTTGGTAAAGGAAAGGCTAGCGGATACCATCCTCCCGTCCCCTCCCTCTCTGTCTTAGCACCACTCTTACAGGAGCTTCCTGGGACTCACCTGCCTGATGCAGATTTCCACCCGAACAGAAGACTTCATCGTGGACACCCTGGAGCTTCGCAGTGACATGTATATCCTCAACGAGAGCCTCACAGACCCAGCTATCGTTAAGGTCAGCCGGCCCTCTCCAGCTCCAGCATGTGAGGTGGGGTTGCAGTCTTTCACCTAGAGCACACGGTTAAAAGAAATCGTGTCATTTCCTGCCCTGCACATGCTAACTGCTTGTCTCTAGCTTGCTGCCACTTGGAGCCATAAAGGTCATGTTATCGGCTGCATCCAAGAGCCTAATCCATCAGGATTGCGTGGACTTGAGGACTTGCTTAGAGCCAATAGAGCTGCTTCAGCCTGTAACCTTGTATAATAGAAGTACAGACAAAGGCTGGGCCCCAAATTAAAGGAAGCATTTAAAACCATATGCATCTTCATCTCCAGGCTGGCCTCCAATCCCAGGCGCTGATGGCCTTGAGGCAGCTTTGTCTTCAGAGACAAGGGGCTTCTGCTGGTGTATCACATGGCGTTGGTTTTGTTTTCAGGTCTTCCATGGTGCCGATTCCGACATTGAGTGGCTACAGAAAGACTTTGGGCTATACGTAGTGAACATGTTTGATACCCACCAGGCAGCACGCCTTCTTAACCTGGGCAGGCACTCGCTCGATCACCTGCTGAAACTCTACTGCAACGTGGAATCAAACAAGCAGTACCAGCTAGCTGACTGGAGGATACGGTTAGTTTGCACCTGGCAGGAAGTGTGGGTGGCAAGAGCCAGGCCTGGGGTCCACTAACCTCTTGCCGGGAAGAATATGTTCAGGTTACTGCTTTATTTCAAATGAGTGTATTAGACTTTTCCTGGGAGTTTTTTGCAACACAAAAGCAATAGAAAAGTTTAGGATGGAGATGTAGAGTTTATGTCAGGTTGGTTGTTACACTCTGCTTCTTGGAAGTAGTGATTGAAAAAAGAAGCATGCCTTGTCAGCATTGACCACTGCCAGTCCGCCTTGTTTGCAACTCTGCTGGCTCTAGCAGGGATGAGTTATCTCCTGAGGTGTGAGAGAAGGCTCAGGTGCGCAGTTGATTTAGTAGCACAGGGTTGTAGCAGTTTTACCCTGCTTTCTGGAAACCACAGCCCCAAGTTTGATCATGGCTGGCTACCTCCCTGAGGTACCGTGCCTTGTAAGATGCCTCTGAGCTTCTCTCCATTTCAACATATGTGAATTTCTAAATATTAACCAAATTTATTTGGACCAACAAAGTTCACATATGGGGGCTGGGGATGTGGCTCAAGCGGTAGCGCGCTCGTCTGGCATGCGTGCGGCCCGGGTTCAATCCTCAGCACCACATACAAACAAAAGATGTTGTGTCTGCCGAAAACTAAAAAATAAATATTAAAATCTAAAAAAAAAAAAGTTCATATATGGTCTGGTGATGGCATCACCTGTAATTCCAGCTACTTAGGAGGCTGAGGTAAGAGGATACAATTTAGTAAGGCCCTGTCTCAAAAAATAAAAGGGCTAGGGATATGGCTTGGTGGTTAAGTATCCCTTGGTTCAATCTCCAGGACAAAAAAATATATATTTAAAAAGACTATTAGGTTCAGGAGGACATACAGCTGGAGAGTCACCTTAGGGCTGCCTCCCTTTCCACCTGACTGTTAAAGTAAAGGTATGTCATATTAAGATGCAGGAAATGAGGCTGGGCACAGTGGCACACACCTGTAATCCAGCAGCTCAGGAGGCTGAGGCAGGAGGATCACAAGTTCAATGCCAGCTTCAGCAACTTAGGCCCTAAGCAACTTAGTGAGACCCTATCTCTAAATAAAATACAAAAAAGAGCTGGGGATGTATATGGCTTAGTGGTTAAGTGTCCCTGGGTTCAATTCCTAGTACCAAAAAAAAAAAACCAATGCAAGAAATGTTGGTATGACCATAATAACTGGCTTTAAAAGACTCTTTGAAACCAGAAGGGTTCAAGAAAGCCCTAGCATCCGGTGAGTAGACAGAGTGGATTGCTGTCCCTGGGGCAGTAATCAGAACCAAGCCCTGTGTTTCAATTCTAGCCCTCTGCCTGAAGAAATGCTCAGCTATGCCCGGGACGACACCCATTACTTGCTCTACATCTACGACAGAATGAGGGTAGAGCTGTGGGAGCGAGGTGGAGACCAGCCCGTCCAGTTGCAGGTGGTGTGGCAGCGGAGCAGGGACATCTGCCTCAAGGTACAGCCTCACCAGGCCCACACAAGCCCCACAGTCAGCGCTCACTTCTGATTAGGATCTAGTTCTCACTTTTGTTCTTCACATCTGTGAAAAGAGCCAAACATTTTCAAGAGCCCAGGGCACAATTTTCAATCTATTGATCTTGCATATTTAACATTCTGTAGAAATTTGTCAAACCTATCTTCACTGATGAGTCCTACCTTGAACTGTATCGGAAGCAAAAGAAGCATCTCAACTCGCAGCAGTTGACAGCTTTCCAGCTGCTTTTTGCCTGGAGGGATAAAACAGCTCGAAGGGAGGATGAAAGTTACGGGTAAGGGAATCCAGAGTCCTTTAATCCTTTCTTCTAGGCCAGGCTTGTCTGACAGGAAAGGGACTTTGTAGCCCTGGGATGGAACCCAGGAGCACTCCACAATACTAAGCTACATCCACAGCAGTCTTTATTTACTCTTTTGAGACAGGTTCTCGCCAAGTTGCCCAGGTGGCCTTGCATTCACCCTGCTTCAGCCCCACGGGTCTGAAGGGGTGTGATGTGAGCCTCCACATCCACCTGGACTTTTTTTTTTTTTTCCTTTCTTTTTTTTTTTTCTTTCTTCTACTGTGAAGGCTGGTTTTTGCCTCTGTGTTATAGCTCTGTGTGTGTGTGTGTTTTGCACATGCTGGGCAAGCACTCTGCCCCTGTGTCATGTCCCCAGCATCAAATAGAACTTACTAGCTGAATTTTTATGTTATCCCATGTGTTCTATTCCAGATACGTACTGCCGAACCACATGATGCTGAAGATAGCCGAAGAACTGCCTAAGTGAGTCTGGGCTTGTGAATGTGTTCCAACTGTCTCAGACCACGTGTCCTTCAGAGTTGGGCTTCTTGATTACTCTAACGCAAAGCTATTTACTCAGATTAGTGTACTAAATTCAGAAGGTAGCAAGTCCAAGAAATGGAAAATTACTGCCCAAGAGCTGCCATGTAAGAACTAAAACTTCTAAACTGGAATGTTTTAATAATTATGTCTTACGTTGTGTTTGAGTCTCTGGCAGCTACAGCAGCCACTTACAGAGAAAGAAAAAAATCTGATTTTCTCAGCTGTACTTTCTTCCAAACTAACACCTCATAGCCGGTCATGGTGGCATACACCTGTAACCCCAGCTACTCAGAAGGCTGAGGCAGGAGGATCACAATTTCTAGGTCAGCCTGAGCAACTTAGCCAGATTCTAAGCAACTTAGCAAGACCCTGTCTCAAAATAAAACATAACACATGAGGCGTGGGGTTCAATTCTCAGCACCACATAAAAATTAATAAATAAAATAAAGGTATTATGTCTGTCTACAACTAAATAATATATTTTTAAAAACTTTAAAAGTGGCAGATGCTGGGGATGTGGCTCAATGGTTAAACAACCGTGGATTCAATCCCTGATAACCAAAAAAAAAAAGACCTCATGTTTTTAGGTTTTTTTGTGTTGTTGTTGTTTTGTTTTATACAAGGATTGAACCTAGGAACACTTTACCACTGAGCCACATCCCCAGACCTTTTTATTTTGTATTTTAAGACAGGGTCTTACTAAGTTGCTTAGGGTCTCAGCCTCTTAAATTGCTGGGATTATATATAGTTGTGCACCATGTGCCTGCAAGACCTCATGATTTTGAGCATTTTGTAATGTCACTTGAAGTATGAGTAAGAATCAGAATCCAATCTGTTGCTCATCCTGTAGAGCTGAGAACCAGCAGTGCCAGGGTGTCTGTTTCCAGCTCTCCCGTGTGTGGACTCAGGCCAGAGAGGGCCTAATGTAAGCATTGGCCTGGCTGCCTTCCTGTCATCTCTCTTCTGGTTCTTTAGCTTAGCCATGGACCCTGGCTTTTCCCAGTCATTATTCTCTTGGGAAGTCACTAAGGATTGTTTCTAAAGTGAGTTGAGCATGTTCTCCCTTGTCTTCAGGGAACCGCAGGGCATCATAGCTTGCTGCAACCCAGTACCACCTCTTGTACGACAGCAGATCAATGAAATGCATCTTTTAATCCAGCAGGCTCGAGAGATGCCCCTGCTCAAGGTAAGAATCCCAACTCAACAGGTTGTTCATCCTGCTAACTCTTGGAAGTAGGTGTGTCCTTTTGGATTTAGCTGCCTTTTTTTTTTCATGTTTGTGGTGCTGGGGGTCAACCAGAACCTTACACATGCTAGACAAGCACTCTACCACTGAACTTCACGCCCAACCTGTGCGTTACTTTATGATAGTCGAAAGATAAAATTCTTCCCAATACCACACATATTAAAAAGGAGCTAAAATTCATCCTGATCATTTTATGACATTACCTTTGCTGATCTGACAGCCAGTAGCATCTAGTGGCTGAGCTAATTAGCTGTTGTTGTAAGGCAGTTAATCTGGCAGAATGTGATGAGGTGAGGATCTCAGTACAGGGAGCTCATGTTGGAAGCCCAGCAATGGCCCAGATGTTAAGTCTTGAGAGTGCTCTGAGAGTGTGTGGTTGTCACGGAATGGAAAGAACAGATATAGGGGGTACCAGAACGAAAGATCAGAGGGACTTTGTAACAGGTGCCAGTTTTTCTTCAACATGAAGTATGTAGACCTGTTACCTAAACTGAATTTGGGGCCTGATGAAGGTGGAATCCAAGACCATTTTCTCCACATTCAAAACCTAGGTGATTGGGAAGGTAGGAAGTGGGAATTTAGGGCGAGGGTAGAGCTTGGTGGAAGAGCACTTGGCCAGCATGTGTAAGGCCCTGGGTTTCATCCCCAGCACAGAAAAAAAAAAAAAAAACGAAAGAAAGAAAAAGGAAAAAAAAATGGAGATTCAGAAAAAGAATATATGTGAAGGAGAGGCTGAAGTTTAGACAGACTCGGGGAAAGTGACACGGCCCCTGCAACACAGGTATCCACAGGATGGTGAAGTGCAAAGTGCACAGGAGTAGGGACATGAGCATGTCTCGTGGGTCCTGGAGACATGACAGCATGTCTTGATTTGAGGCTTTTTGTTTCACCTTTTTTTTTTTTTTTTTAATATTTATTTTTTAGATGTAGATGGACAATGCCTTTATTTTTATGCGGTGCTGAGGATTGAACCCGGGTCCCGCCCATGTTAGGCGAGCGCTCTACCGCTGAGCCACAATCCCAGCCCTTGTTTCACCTTCTTAATTGGCTTTACCTTCCATTATGTGGTTGGGCAGCAAATCATTCCATAAAACAGCATGCGTTCTCTTGGTTTATAATACTGGGACAGTTTTCAGTGTGTTGGCTCAGTAATAATAGCAGCATGTGATAGTTTTTTTTGAAAGATAATTGGCCCAGAAAGACTGAAAATCAAAGAAGAATCTGAGCATGAACACATTGGCACTTGTCATATTAAAATGTCTTTCTGGGGGTCAGGGACTGTGGCTCATGGTCGAGTGGTTGCTTAGCAGGTACAAGGCCCTGGGTTCCATCCCCAGCACCTCAAGAAAGAATATAAATGTCTTTCTTAGCTCTGCAGTTTGTCTAAGTAGAGGGAGCCCCAGACTGCTACAGAAGACACTCTTGCAGGCTGTTTGGAATCTTTCCTGTGGTGCCTCATCGTGATAAAGAGCTCAGTTCTTTGATTGCACAATTCCTGAGCACCAGATATCTGTAGTGCCAGGCACTGGGAGGGATGAGGACGCAGCAGTCTTTCTGGGTTCTAGAGAAACACGTCCCCGGGAACCACAGTCTGCGGGGAGACGTGTCCTCAAGCTTATGCAGCCTCCCTCACTGCCCCTTGTCTTTCCTCCTTAGTCTGAAGCTGCAGCTGGAGTGAAGAAGAGCGGGCCGCTGCCCAGTGTCGAGGTGGAGTGTCATTGCCTCTGTCCCCGTGGTGGGTGGAGGGGACAGCCATCAGAGTCCATGTACACAAACCTTACGGGCCAGCTCCTGCTGCTTCCAAGATTTATGTGTGGCCTGCTGGTTTTGTTTTGATGCAGAGGTTGGAGAATGTTCTCTTTGGCCCTCATGACTGTTCCCATGCCACTCCAGATGGCTACCCAGTCACCCCCACTGCCAGTAAGTAGAAACCCCTGGGCTCAGGAAGAGTGGGGTTGGCACGGCTCAGAGCCACTCTGCTTCAGGCCACGGGCTTTGACCTTCCTGACTTCATGCGGCTAGGGTCTGTGCCAGCTCAGAAACAGTCGGACCTCTTCACTAACCAAAAAGAGGAGACCTTGCTGGATACCAAATGCCTTCTCGCCACAGCCGTCATCACATTGTTTAATGTGAGTAACAGGAAGCTCCGGTGAGGTGAGGTAGCTTTGTGGGTATTGTGGGGTTCGTCCAGCAGGCTGTCTGCCAGGAGCATTCACACACCCGGGAGACTAACACCAGAGTGAAACTGCAGCGGAAGGAGAGGTGCAGGGAGACAACGCTCCAGGGAGGTCATCTGCAGGACACGCCCAGGCTTCCCCTCAAGGGAAAGCTGCCCAGTAGGGGGGAGGGTGTGGCTGAGGTGACAGATGCAGCCCTTTCAGACACAGCCACCAACAGGGACTGTCCATCTCGATGTCTTGAGCAGGGGCATCTCTCAAGCCTACTGGATTAAAAGATGCATTTCATTGATCTGCTCAATCCCATGTTCCCACCTGACATGAACCCAGGCCAAATACCCAGCAGTGTCCCTAACACCTCCCTGAGGATGCCCAGTAGGATCACAGCCCTCTGTCAGGGCCAGAGCCAAAACCTCCTCCCTTGAACCAGCTTCTCTGCCATCTCCATCTTTCCAACTGCTCAGGACAAAACCCTCTGGCATCCAAGGCTCCTCCTTCCTGTCACCTGCCACATCCAACTCACTGTCTGTCTAATCAAATATGGAGTCTGTGCTGTGTGCACCTTCCTGCCTGTGCCCAGCACTGTACTCGCCAAGAAGAACAGACTTTGCCAATGGTTTGCACTGTGGTTCCTGAGAAGTGAGGTGCAGCCAAGGCAGGTCTGTGGAGTGGTCATAGCAGTTAGTGACACTGTTTTGGAGACTCCGTGTCACTCACCTGGGGAGGGCCCTGTTCCCAGAACATGTTGAGCTGTGACAGAGCCTTCCTGCTCACACCCCTGGGCTCCTTGTTTCCACCAGTGATTGGAGATCCAGGTTCCTCACAAAAGGAAGGCTGAGTACATGAGCTGGTCAGGATGGGTGAGTGTTCAAAAAACCAGAGATAAGAGCAGAACATGCAGGGGCAACTCTGGGCACCATAGCAGGTGGAGTACTGGGAACAAGAGATTTTTCAGAAAGAAAGAACTGAGAGAAGAATCTTGCCTGTTGGAAAGACAGTCATCAAGCTTGCCAAATGTTCAGATGACAAAAACTAAGTGGTATAGGAGGTTACAGGAGTAAATTTGTAGTCACCCCTTCATGCCAGAATGTTGGACAAAGCCAAGATGAAATGTCTCTTGTAAAATGTACTACCTTGAACTTCACTTCCTTTTTAACGTAATTACGTGAATTTAGATGGGATCTTGCTTTGGCAGCTCATGGGAAAAAAGTCAGGCTGGGATGTAGCTCAGTTGCAGAGCACATGCTCAACCCTGGGTTCAGTTCCCAGCACTGCAGAAGAGGGCGGGGAAGCCTAGGAGCTTCAGTTGACCACAAGGTAGCATCAGCCGTCCGGAGGCTCAGCAGTGAGCATGAGCACAGACTCTAGGCTGCATTGACATGGAAGTGCTGTTTAGTCAGAAGGGGCTGTGGTCTCCCTTGACTCCGCAGAACAGGGAGCATAATTTAATTGATTTCCCATAAAGATCCATAATTACCTTTCCTATGTCAGTTAATACCTCCGGCCCGGCCTGCGGAAGCACACCTGTAATCCTTGCAACTGGGGAGGCTGAGGCAGGAGCATCACAAGTTCAAAAGCCAGCCTCAGCAATTTAGCCAGACCTTGTCTCAAAAAAGTAAAGAAGACTAGAGAGGGCTGGGGCTGGGGCTCAGCAATAGAGCGCTTGCCTTGCATGTGTGAGGCTTTGGGTTCAATCCTCAGCAACACATAAAAATAAACAAAAATAAAGATTAAAAAAAAAAACAGAGGACTAGAGATTTGGCTCAGTTGTAGAGGACCCCTGGGTCCAATCCCCAAGTACTACACAGAAAAAATGCCTTTAAGCTCTCGGGCCAGGCAGGTGTCGGGTTAAATCTTTGTCTTGCCACTGCTAACCACAAGGCTCTGGAAGACTTCAGTAGCTGCTCCAAGCCTCAGTGAGAGGCTGCGAGACGAGAGCAGTACCTTGTGCCTCATAGGTTGTGGGGACACGGAGAACTTATCAAGTCAACAGATTAGTTTTGCAGCCCTATGAGGTGGTGTTACAGGCACAGGGCCTTGTACACAGGAAGGCTTAAGGACTAGCTGCTATTACTAATGTCACTGTTGTTCTTTTTCTCTTGTTTGCATCCTGATGTCACATATGGTCATGGTTATAAGTGATTGGAGTTTTGTCTGTCCCTATAGGAACCTACTGCTGAGGAAAATGGAAAGAGTCCATTAACAGTTGCTCAGAAAAAAGCCCAGAACATAATGGAGTCCTTTGAAAACCCATTTAGGATGGTGAGTCCTGGCCGTGTGTGCTCCCGGCTGGTGTGCCTTTTACCTGAAAAGAAATAGCGGATCTCTGGGGAGGGAAGCCTGTGAGTCCAGTGTGTCACTTGTCCTCAGCGTCCTGGCTGGGACTATGAGTTAAGGCCTTCTAAGTGACCCCAGCAACTGTCCTGTGAGCACCCTGACTGGGCCCACGTGCCATCTCCCAGCAGTTCCCACAACTGTCTCCCTTTCCACAGTTCCTGCCTTCGCTAGAGCACCGGGGCCACATCTCTCAGGCAGCAAAGCTCGATCCTTCCTCGAAGATCTATGAAGTAAGTGGATTCGGCACCTTTTCTAAGTGCAATTCACAAAGAAAGGGGACTTCTTAATTATTTAAACTAGGTTTCTGTTTTAGAGAGGTTCCATGTGGATGGGCTTGTGATCTTCTATGGGTGCAAAAGCCCTTTCTGTCTAAGCATTGCTTCTAGGAAGAGAAGCTTCAAGAGGTAGACTTCAGGCAGAATTTCAGGCTCTCCAAAACACTTGGAAACCTTTTAAGAAACAGGTTTTGGACTGGTCTGTGGCTCCTGGCATGTGGGAGGCCGAGGTTCCATCCCCAGCATTGCAAGAAAAGATTTTGTCTTGTGGTGTTCGTAACTGAGATTTAAAATGTAAAAAGTGTGCACAGCATTAACGTGCAGCTTGATGCAGTTTTGCACTGTGTGTCACTCTCAGCTCTTAGAGCGCAGCTGAAGCTTTCAGACCCCCTGCCTCCACTGTTTGGTGTGTTTAGCAGCATTGTGAATACGAGCCCTTGTGCTGGGCCCCCGCCAGGGACACATTAACTGAAAGCCCCTTCTCCCTGCGGAAGCTCCACTCTCACAGCAAAGCCCAGGGCCCCCCTTGGCAGCACAGACGTCAGCAGGTGACTCCCTGACAGGTCTTGGCCGTGGTGCCGAGGGTCCACCTGCTGGTGTTGGAGTTGGGGGTCAGGTCAAGCTGTGCCTTCTCCCTTCTCCCTGCTAATTGTGGCATGAGCAGCTGTCTGTGCTTGCTGCCCTTGTGTGGCATCACCCAGATGTGTTCCAGCACCACAGCTGACAGCAGGTCACACAGAACAGCGGGACTTGCCTTGACTCCCAGCTCCACCACTCCCTGATCACGTCCCTCCCAAGGCACAGAGCCTCCCAGGCCTGTTCCCTTGCCTCTGAAGGGATGGTGGTGACGGTAGCTCTGTCCCAGTGTGACGAAGGCATTGAAGGAGCTGCTGGGTGTGCAGCCTCTAGCCTAGCGCCGGGGATGCAGTTGCACTTTGTCCTTGTCAATAAGGATCTTATAAATAAAGGCCAGCAGGAAACTTGGTTTTTGTGTCCTTGGATGGGGAACTTCTGACTTGGAACGTGTGGCGCTGGTAGGTCAGCGTGCCCGCCCCTGCCTCGTGGAGGAGGCGCTCTGAGATGGCTGCGCTGGGAGTGTTTTTGCCTTGTCTGTTTTCATTATAGATCAGCAACCGTTGGAAGCTGGCCAGCCAGGTTCAGGTACAAAAAGAACCTAAAGAAACTGCCAAGAAGAAGGCAGCTGAGCAAACAGGTAGCCTCACTTCCTTGTAAACGCAGTGTTTGATAAGGACAGCCCTCGCACGTCAGGCAGTTGACTCAGTCGTTTCACAAAGTGTGAAAGAACAGTGACCACGACAGGCCCAGCCCTGCCTCAGGCAGCCTGCCTCGGCAGGATGGACAGTAGACAGCAAATGTGTGTTCTGGGGAAAGCCCGGAGGTGCCTGCGGGAGAGGCGAGGAAAGTGGTGCCGTCGCCACTGGGCCGTGGCTGGAGCAGGCAGCCTAACCAACGTGACATTGAGCCAAGTCCTGGAGCGATTAGGGGAGGAGGGTCTGGACCAACCTTGACCTCGCAGCGAGTCCCAGGGCCCAGGTGGCAGCTTCCTGAGCATTCTCAAGGAGTGCCAAGGCTGCCCATAGCAGCAGCACAGAGGCTGGGAAGAGGGACGGAAGACGGGACCCCAGGCAGGGCATGGGAAAGACCCGCTTTCACCCTGAGTGGGTTGGGAAGCAGCAGAGGGGCTTCTGTGTCGCAGGTCCCTCGGGCTGTCATGTTGCAGTGGGTTGTAGAGGGAAGGCGGGACCTGCTGGGAGACACCCAGGGACCAGGTGAGCAGGAGGGGAGGGGTTGTTTGGACCCCGATATGCCCCATAGCAGAAACTCAGCCTTTGGCAGTAAGTTGGATGTGGCAGGTGACAGGAAGGAGGAACCTTAGATGCCAGAGGGTTTTGTCCTGAGCAGTTGGAAAGATGAAGACAGCAGAGGAGTTGGTTCAAGAGAGGAGGTTTTGGTTTTGGTTCTGGCCCTGACAGAGGGCTGTGATCCTACCCGGCATCCTCAGGGAGGTGTCAGGGACACTGCTGGGTATTTGGCCTGGGTTTATGGGAGAGGAGCAGGCAGGTGGGAACATGGGATTGAGTGCCCAGGTGCAGGTGAGAAGATCAGCCAAGCTGAGCCCGCTGCAGGGGCCAGTGGGCAGGAGGGCAGCTGTGCTCACCCCCAGGGCTGGAGAGCTGGCTCCGGGTCGGCAGCTCCACGGACTGTTCTTTCTTGCAGCCGCCCGGGAACAGGCAAAGGAAGAGTACAAAGCCGCAGCGGAGCAGGCCACCTCTGTGCGCCAGCAGGCAGTGGTATGTGCTGGCTTCTCTTACCTGTGAGAAACAGGACGCCCTGTTGCGGTCAGGCTCTCCCTGATCATCTGAGGAGGGGTCCCCTGTGCATCAGAGGAAGTGGTGACTCCCGGCACCTTGGCTCCTCAGCTGGTGCCTGCCTCATCTCCCCTCAAGCAGGTTGATGCTGTCCTTTCCCTTAGATGGCGCCTCCTGCTATTGATAGCAAATCTGCCAGAAGGCCCTTCTGTGGGTGGCAGTGTGGCCCCGGGAAATGCTTCATTCTCACCACCCCCAGAGCACTCTGGAATTCTAACCCCTGCCTTTCTTAATGACTGACATCACTGTCCAGGTAGGAACTTGTTCCTGCTGGCACTAGCCAAGTGAGAGTGTCCTGAGGTGCCAGGCTGCTCATACCCAGCCATGGCCTCTCCCCCCCACCAAAGCCATGTTTATATGATACAGGCAGCTGAGTCCCCAGCTGATAGAGATTGAGCCTCCCAACCTGATCCAAATCTGAAATGCTCCCAAATCCAAACTCCCTGAGCAGGCACACGCCACCACAGGGGAACATTCCACACCTTCGAACCTTAGCTTGTGCCAAAAATCGTTTAGCATACTGTGTCCAGTCCCGTTGAGCTGTGTGCATAGGGGCATAGGAAGCACAGAAGAGGGCTGGGGGGACATGCCTGGAGCCCTCTGCAGTAGGCTCACTCCGTCTACTGCAGAAAAGAAAATGAAACAAATGATTCTGGTGTTTAGACTTGGGCCCCATCCTAAGGTGCCCCATCATGTAATGTGTAGATGTTCCCCCAGAAATCCAAACTCCACAACCTGTGGCCCAGGCATTTCTAGGCCCTCCTCACCTGTCACCGAAGCGGCAGGTCTTCCCCTCTCAGGCACTTCCTGCTTCCCTCCCTGGGTGTGCTCGCCCTGCAGCTAGAGCATGCTGCTAAGAAGAGAGAGCGAACAACAAGCGACCCGAGGACCCTGGAGCAGAAACAGGAGAAGAAACGACTCAGGACTTCCAAGAAGCCAAAGGACTCAGAAAAAGATTTTACCCCTTTTGACTACAGCCAGTCGGACTTCAAGGCTTTTGCTGGTGAGGACAGGACTGGGGCCCCACTCTGGGACATCTGGCCATTCGAGGTGGGAGGAAGCTGTCCAGTGAAGAAGGCACAGTTTAGGCACAGCAAGCCCTGCCCAGGACGTGGCCGTGGCCAGTGACCGCCAGAAGCCCCCTTCCCCAGAACTAGCTCTCAGCCCTCCGTGTGACTAATGGCTTCGTCCTTTCTCACAGTCACTTGTGCCCAGAACACACACACATACACACACTCACAGGTATTGTTGATTGAAAGCACCTGAAGCCCAAACTCCTGGCTCCCTCTAGCTGCCTCCAGGGCAACACAGCCCTTGGAGGAGCAAGAGAGCAGGACAGTCCACATGGGGACTTCATCAGGAGCCCCTGTCCCTGCCTATGGCGCTGGATCTTGATGTCAGAGGAGCCACCTGCCCCTAACAGCCTGGAAACAGGTCTGTGAGAACTAAGCCTGGTCTCAGCAGCAGCGATTGGAAACATTAACTTATGTCATCGCAAAGCAGGTGGCAGGCTGGCCGCCAGCAGTCTGAACCCCGGGCGGGCCCTGTCTTAAGCTCCTTGCCTCAGCGCTGGCCTCATCTCTTACCTTGCAGGAGACAGCAAACCCAAACCTTCCTCCCAGTTTGACCCCAGTAAGCAAGCCGTGTCTGGCAAGGTAAGGCCGCACCAGGAGCGCTGCGCTCCCCGCAGTCTTGGTTCAGCCCCTCTGCTGGGAGGGTGCTCCATCCAGCAGTCCTCTTCCTCTGTGGCTTCTCCTGCTCCTTCCTTCCGAGGGGAGACGGCACCTAGCAGCTGCTTCCGCCATTTTTTAAAAGTGGCTATAAAAGATGGCGCGCAGTTGTTTGTTGTCTTTTTTTTTTTTTTTTTTTGGTGGGGTGGGGGTTTACCCTGGATTGAATGAGGGCACTCAGCCACTGAGCCACCTCCCAACCCTATTTTGTATTTTATTTAGAAACAAGTCTCACTGAGTTGCTTAGTGTCTCTTGCTGAGACTGATTTTGAATTTGTGATCCTCCTCCTCCCTACTTCAGACTCCCATGCCACTGGGGTTACAGGCATGGCCCCCACCCAGCCTGGCATGCAGTTTTTCTCTTTGCAGCCATGGGAATTTTTTTTTTTTTTAACCCAGGGGCACCAGCCCTTGTTATATTTTATTTTGAGACAGTCTTGCTAAGTTGCTTAGGACTTCGTTAAGTGGCTAAGGTTGGCTTTGAACTCAAGATCCTCTAGCCTCAGCATTCCAAGCCACTGGGATTACAGGCGTGCACCACCGCGCCAGGTAGCCATGGGAACTCTAGCTTCAGGTCAGAAGCACCCCTTCGGGTGCCAGTGTGGCCAATGTGTACCCCCTGTGGGGTCCAGGCCCAGCGGGGCTGGCATGTGGGAGCAGGGCTGTGCAGAGCCTCCTGTTCCTGCCCTAGCTCTGTCTTCTGAAGTGCACAGGGGTGCCCACTGCTGGAAACCAGGGCTCACCCGTGTGCTGGGTACCCCCTCTCCCTAGCCATCTGAGTTGGGTGTTCTCCTCTGCTGGTCAAGGTTGTCCCCCACCTTCAACATCTCTTATCTTTTCAGAAGTGCTTTGCAGCCAAAAAACTGAAACAGTCAGTGGGAAACAAAAGCATGTCCTTTCCAACTGGAAAATCAGACAGGTATGTGGAAGTAGCCAGGCGCAGGCCCTGGAGCCCAGCAGGAAAGCACCCTCCCTGTTGCACTTGGGTACCTGCAGCAGAGCACAGCTCAGAGGGCTTTGTCTAGAAGAGCAGAGGCTTTCTCCACAGCCAGTCCTCTCTTTGTCACTTGAAAAACAGGAGGGGACGTGATTTGCTGTGTGCCACGTGTCATATGGCCACTTACTGCATCCCAGCATTCAGACCCCTTATTCTTTGCTCTTTCCTGTTTAGTTTCCTGAGGTCACCTCAGAACAAATATGTATGAAATTTTCTTAGGTCAGCCTGTTTCTTAGGAAAGAAAGAAAAAATCGGCAAATGTGGGTTGTCATTGCTGAAGAATGTTGTAGTTAAGAGCGTGAAATCCAGATGATACTAGAGCAGTACCTGAGGTTGGGCCCTGGCACAGGAAAAATTCTGCTCAGGGCCTTGGCCATTGCTGTGGGCCCCGCATTCTGCCCCCGCCACCCCACTGCCATCCAGCTCAGTCCCCAGGGCCCAAGCAAGCCATTCTTCAGTTCTGCCTTCTAGAAGGTTGTGTGTTGTATAAAGCAACTGAGACCCAACTGTCAGCCGCTCTGGAAGAAGTAACTCTGTTTTCCTACTGTCTCTGCAGAGGCTTTAGGTACAACTGGCCAAAGAGATAGTGCTGGAAGAGACCCTTGGGACCCCAGGGACTGGAAGCACCAAATGGTGGTGCTGCTTTTATATAAACGCATTTTTAAACCATTAAAACTAATTCCTTCTGGAAGAAAGCTGGTTCCTGACTCTTCTTTTGCTGCCATCGTAGCCCTGGCAGGAAGGACAGGCCCCGTCCCGTTCACACCACCACCCTCAGCTGTTCATGAGAGAGGAGAGTGCCCTGAAAGGTCACTGTGATTTCTAGAGAAAGCCAGAACCCCCAAGGGAGTAACACAGGAGAACAGCCTGTGACTCAAAAGAGTGAGGTGTTGCTCACCTTAGGAGGGTTCTGTGGGCCTCTGACCCCTGTCTGGGCTTTGGGATAATGTGGGTGAAGCTGTGGTACGCCGTTGCAAAGAGGGGCTGGAGTGCCCTGGAGCCAGTGTGGCTTCTGGAGAACTTGATCTCTGTTCCTTTCTCTTCCTTTAAGAAAGAAAAAATAAATAAACAACAACAACAAAAAACCTTTTTGTCTTTTCCTGATTATAAAAGAAATTACATTGGGCTGGGGGGGAGTAGCTCAGTGATAGAGCACTCGCCTCATATGTGCAGGGCTCTGGATTCAATTCCCAGCACTGCAAAAACAAGAGGAAAGCAAGTTTACTGTAGCAAATGTGGATGGCACAGAAAAATGCAAACAAGAAATTTAATCACCGGGTGTTGTGTATTTCCTGTGGGCTTTTTTTACTGTGCAGATGCACAGTTGTAGGGGCGTCTTCCATAGCCATGCTTTCCATGTCCATGAGCTCAGCCGGCCTGGAAGGGAAAATATTTTTTTAAATATACCCATACTGAGCAGTGGGCTTTTATGTACATAAATTAGGTATTATCTGTAACCTGGAGATGATTTGGGTATACAAGATGGGCTGGGATGTAGCTCAGTGGTAGAGCACGTGCCCAGCATACAGGAGGCCCTGACCCAGCCCTCCAGAAACGTACACAGCAGGATTTGTGGGTTCTAAGTGGATACAAATCATTTCATATGCATATTTGGGTCATCTTCAGTGGGTCCTGAGCCAGTCTCCCATATTTTTAAATTTACAGCCTTGGGTTTAAATTCCTGTTTTTCACCTTTAAAGTTTATAAGATTTTCCTCATTCTAAAGCCAACCCTCATAATCAAACATGTAGGTTTCCATTAATTTGCTTTGTATTTTGTGTGTGGGAGGGGGGTACTTAACCACTAAGCCACATCCCAGCCCTTTATTTAGAAACAAGGTCTCAATGAGTTGCTTAGGGCCTTGCTAAGTTGCTGAGACTGGCTTTGAACTCGTGATCCTCCTGCCTCAGCTTCACAAGCTGCTGCACCAGCTCTATTTTATACTATTCTGAATGCAACATTGAACTTCATAATTGTGACCAAAACTGATGATTTCTTAAGAATTCCATTTTATTTTACTGAAACAATGAAATCAACAAAGTGCAGAATACCATTATTTTTGTTACCACAAATACTTAAATTAGGAACCGTTTTCTTTGAAATTTCTCTCACAAATTATTGATGGCCAACTATGCATGACAGCCTCTGGATGACAGGCTCTGGGCCAAATTAAGCCTCATGCTGCTATGGCCCTTCAGAGTAGTACTTCCTTGTCAGGAGGACAGTAAAAAGCAGCTCTGTCTGCAGATGGGCCAGCTAGGACCAGGCTGGTTGAAAGTAACAAGAAAGTCAAACTCTGAGAACAAGACAAATGTTCTCTTCCCTTTGTAAATAAGGTTTGTCCAGAGGCAGCATGGTGGCTCATGAAAGCCAGCCTCAGTGTGAACATAGGACTTCCTCCTCCCCACCCAGTGGCTCCAGCCATCACATCATCATTCCAATCAGCTGGAAGAGAGCCAAGAGCACCCAGCCTCTTTCCACTTCCCAGTGACCAGAACCTAGTCACATGGCCACAGCAAGAGGTCCTGAGAAATGTTAGTATTTCAGTCATCCATTTGCCCACCAAAAGACGCAGAATTCTGAGTACAAAATTTGGAAAAAATAAAATAGACACTGAAGGACAAGCACAGCCTCTGCCAAAAAATGGCAGACTCTACTAAATAAAATGGACGGATGGAAATTTTTAAAGGTGAGAAACGGTTTCCACTGAGGACAGCCTGAGAGGTGGGCTTCCTAAAGGAGGCATCTGGACAGTGAGGGGTAAAGAAAGCAGCCTGGGGAACTTGGGGAGCCAGCGCCACCGGCCTGTGGAGCCTGAGGGAGGCCAGTCTGGCACCACCCAGGCCAACAGGAGGTAAGTGGCCCAGACCTGGCCATGTGGTTACCAGGCTCCCACTGGGCAGACAGGAATGAAAAGTCTGTTGAAATGACTCCTGGTCCTTTATTTGAAAGGTCTCCTTACTGGTTTTGTTTTTGTGACAGTGTTATCATTTTAAGATGGGGCCAGAGACAGGAGGAGGATTTTATTGTTTTTAAAACAGGGCCTCACTAAGTTGCCCAGACTGGCCTCGAATTTGGGATCCTCCTGCCTCCTCCCAAGTTGCTAAGATTACAGGCGTGTGCCACCGCAGCCAACTAGGTCTTTTTTAAATGTCCCTTTTTTTCTG